TGGGGAATTCAGGGAGTTGAAGTCCACTCATCTTAAAGTGGCCAAGTTTGGACAACACTGGAGTAGGCAAAGTGCCACCATAGCCCTCATGCCAAATTAACTAAAACAGTAAAAAAATTGACCATGCAAACCCCCTTCTTAGTAAAAGCAGTCAAAACCTGTAATGCACTCAGTAGTCACAGAATAAGAACCCAGAGCTGGCAGAATCCGGTCCTCTTTCCCAGTTTAAATCAACATCCAGTTTAAACCTGTTTCTTCTAAGTACATATGTATCCATTCCACAGACCCCTATAGACGAACAAGAGGCCCAATCAATGCCAAATATCGAGTACCTTCTGCCCAACATTGGAAGGACAGCAGTGCCCGGGGATGCTTCAGGTAAGCAGACTGAGACGTTTTGACTGGGGGAGAACTCCCGGGCATGGAATTCCCCCAGGAATTCTGATTCTGATTGGTGTTTCTTAGCTTCATCTCTGTGTCACAGTGCTTTCCCGTAGTCGTTCCACTCTTCTTCTCCTTTTGAATCAAACACCCAGTCCCAACAGTTCCCCATGGATATATGGATGTAGCCATCTTTTCTGCAAAGGGGTTCCATTAATCTGTGCCAAAGATGTGAAAAGAGACATTCTGGCAGCTTCTGAAAAGATTGGACTGGAGAGAGTTCCGTGGAGGCAAGAACTAGTAGGGCCTCCCTCCCATCCTTCCTCCGGTGCTTTGCCAGTTGTACTGCTAGCAGCAAAAGGCATGTGCTGCCCCCCCACCCCCAGATCTTCTACTTTAATAATGTGATCCTTAGAATTTGGGCACGCATGGCCATTTGATTCTAGTTTCCACCTGTGCCAGCGGTGAAGTAGCATTTGCGTTGCTGGAAGAGAAATCAACATTTAGAGATAGGTTTCTTGAACTCTATCTATGGTTGCTAATGCTGATGAGCATGTTACTGATTAATAGTGATGTTTTTTGTCCCTCTGCCAGTTATAGCTTCCTTTAACTTTTCTGCTGTCTTTCTTCTCTTTTCTCTCTTTATCTTGTGTCTCCTCCTCCTTCCAACTCCAGCGGATCTGCCGGAGCTCTAGAGCTGGTACAGTGTGGTTGTGCTCTGATGTTCATGCACTAATTCCATTGGGTGATTATGAGAGATGGGGAAAGGCAGAACTTTAGGTTTTGGCTCCTCATTGGATTTTTCATGTTGACTTGAAAGAACTCCAGTGGCATTGGCCATAATATAAAGACCAGGGTGTGGGTCTGCCTCCCAATTATGTTCCTTCCTGTTTAAAATCAGGAGCATGGGACCTTCTTAAAGTCAACCAGAGGAAATTCCCATTTCAAGCAGCTGGATATGAAAGTGTGATAATTTCAGATCCTCAGTCAATTTAAAACAAATGCATGTGGGTGCTTCTAAGTAGGGTTTTTGGGGGGTAGGGGGGGTAGGCTATGCAACTGCTTGATTTACTAAATTTTCCACTAAATAGAGGTTTGTTTTTTGTTTTACCATTTGTAATTCTGTATTTTCCCACCACTTTATTTTTTTTTAATCACCATATATTGGGCAGAACAGAAAGGTTAATTCTTATTTTTGACAGCACCAGTAACATATACATTAAATAGCATGCCCAGTGATTGTGTCATAGAATTCTTTTACATTTTTAATATTAGATAATTTTCCTTTTTTCCTTTTATATTTTTCTCTTTTTTTCTTTTATTATATTATAAATAACTTGAGTAGTAAAGCATTAAAGCATACACAAGTCATTTTTTAAAAAACAAGAATTAAATGTGATTATATTAAGTATGTTTATGGTTACATCTTAAGGCTGCAATCTAATGCTCACTTACCAGGGATAAGCTGTCACTGAGGTTTATTACTAAACCAGTATATATTAAATTATAAGAAAAATTGAGCATTGTAAAATAAAATAATCACAATCATAAATTTTAAAAGTTCTCAATTAGGACTGTTTGGCTAAATTCTTATTATCTGATGTCCAGCAAAATGTGCTGAAGGATCATTATTCATACAGCCTACTTGTCTGACTAATGTAATGTTAAAGCTGAGATTTGAGTTCTCTCAGTTTGATCAAGAGTCCTGTGTGGCTTGAAAGCCTGCAGTATATTTTTCCATCCACAAATATCAAAACTCAAGTAAATGCTTTTATCCCCAGAGCATGATGCCACTATCTGCGGAAACATTACTTCTTTAAGCTCTGGGTGTTGAGTCAGCATGACTGTTTTGCCTTTTCTCACTCTTGTGATTGCCAGCCACTAATTCCACGTGAATGTCGGGGTCAAACCTTGAATGGAGTGGGCCTTGTGGGTGGCTGGGGGGGACATCCATTAATCTGTCCATTGGTTTCATCGTTGCTGATATTGCTGTGGCAAATATGTCTGTGTGCTTGTGTGGGGAGGCTTGGAAAGATTTCTTCAGAAAAGTTTGTTCAAACCACCTGCCTGGTGCTGCGCTTATTTTAGGAGAAGACCAAGGCTAACGCTTACGCCGTTTCTCGTGGTTCCTTCAGCTGGGACAAGGACCCTTTTTGTTGGCAAAAGGCCTTTTTTTTCAAATTGATTTTTGAGAGAGGCATTGGGGAAAGGGGAGGTCAGTAATTTAGTGACTAATGTCACTGAAAGGAGCAGGGTAGAATTTTCAGTTCTTTTTCCATTTGCAGGGAGGGCGGTTTGGATTTAAAAAAACAAAACAAAACTATAAGCTCATTGGATGCTTAACGTACCTGTCTTACTTCATGCTTTGTGAAAACCATGAGAAATTGTGCCACTGTTACTCCGCAGCTCACTGTCATAGTGTGGTGGTTCGAAGGCTGCAAAGAATAGGCTGATGGCTGCTTACAGCCTACTGATTGCAAGGCTGCTTACTTCTGACCCGTGCTGTTGTCACTTTAGTTTGACAGCTTATCCCCCGCCCCCACTCCCTGGTCCCCATGGCTTGCATTTGTCCCTGGGTTGCTTTCTCTGGTTGTCTGGCTTGGCTTTTGACGTGGTTGAACTGAACGGCGTAGGAGTAGCCTTGACTGCATTGGCACTGGGCAGTTGCGATTCCTTACCAACGTCTGCTAGTAGCTATCTTTAAGAGGGCTCCCTGCAGCGACTTAATTTGCCAAAGGAGGCAGTTTCTACAAATGCTCTCTCCTCTCTGCATATGATTGTATGCGATGCAAGGTGTAGACCTGAATTTCCATCATGACAACTATCCCAAAAGACTTAGGAAGCCTTCCCAAGTATGGATTCTTAAAAGGCTCTTGTAATGCTGGCGGTTCTTCTGGTTTGCCTGATCTTTGTGGGTTATTGTTTTGTAAATTTATGCATATATGTATTAACTCTGCGTATGCGCACGCGTGTGTGTAGCTGTGCAGTGCTGCATTCAAAGGGGGAAGTGTGATTCAGAGTGGCAGAGGGATTGTACTTGCTGGGAGTGCCTTAAAGAAAATGTGTTTTTTTCCCCCGGGTTCAGGCAAGATTGCAGGAAAAGTCATATTTGATTTAAGGAGGTGCTGGTAGGTGTGATTACACACCCACGAATCCCCTTTTCCTTTTCAAATCTGGATCACTGCACAGCTGTTTTTTTATTTATTTGTATTCATTTTATTAAATTGAGAGGCCATAAAGAACAACATAGAGAAAAAGCTGCATGTGTACATGGACACATACACAGAGTTAATACACATTATGTAAATTAATGAAACAGTAACCCTCAATGACTGAATAAACTGGAATATCTATGTGTGTGTTTGTAACACTTTTAGGCTAACCAATACTACTACTCAATTCTCTGAGTACCAATTTAAAAAAAACAGTAAAAAACAGTAAAATGAATATATTATGCGGCATAAAAAGAGCCCAGCAATAGAGAATAAAACTACAATCTCAAATCATTTAAGGCAACAGTAAAATTGTGTAGGTACACTCAGCCACCCAAAGCCACACTCTAAAATGCCACATATGACTGAATATGACGACTGAAAAGGCTCCTCTTCTTATTTCCTTCCCAACACCCCTCTCTTGGCCAGGAACCTAGAGAGGAGCCTTCAGAGGTGATCTGAAAGCCCAGATAAAAGATAAAAGTTTCAAGTCAGTACTTGGAATTGAGCATTGGCAACACTGAACCTGCTACATCACTAAAGCCCTTCCTCATATATCCCTGGGAACCCTGAAACCATTCAACATCTCACATTAGTATCTCACATCAGAATGCCAAAATCTCATGATATTTCAGTCTTGGGGGGAGTTAAGACAGACTCAATACTGAGCCCCAGATGTTGACTACAAAGAGACAGCGAAGTATTGCTGTGATGTGAAGAACTTCTAGTTTCAGTTAACAGCCTCATAGTGCCATTGTGATTAACTGAAATTTCTGGACCATTTGCAAAGGTAACCTCATATACAACACATTGCAGTAATCCAAAAAGAAGGGCTTCAGTTGAAGTACCCTGAACTGTTTGAGCATTGTCCCTTGGAACAGTTTCTGAGTTATAATCCAGTCCCTGCAGACGTTACTGCGGTTGTGCTAAGGAACCAGTACATCTCTCTTTAAGACTGATTGCACAATTTCCTTTGGAAGCTCCTCCTCCTCCTCCTCAATGTGGACTTTGGGGAAAGTGGTAGAAATGGGAGATTAGAACCCAGAATATTCACCTCTTCTTAACACCTCAGTGGAGAATAGCCTCTCTAAACATTTCAGGCTAAGTTTATGATCCATCAAGCCAAATTGAGTCACCTTCTGTCCTTCTGTTTTTGAAAAATCCTGGAAGGCAGCAAAACCAGGAGGCTGGTCAAGCCCATCTAGTCTCTGCACACCACTGGTGGTGCTCTGTGTTTGCTCTTCGTGGGGTCAGGAATTATGCAACTCTGGCATGAGTGTTACTCCTCTAGATGGAATGTTAACATTTTTAATAGAACTAGTTGTGTGCCTCTGTGTGTGTGTGCGCGCTTTATGGCTAATTTGGGGCATCAGTTTCCTGCCATGTTGTTTAGGTCCCTACAGGGGGTTGATAATGATGGTTGGTGATCGGTCTCCCACTGATACTCATTCTTTGTGCTTTCTACACTAAATTTTATTGCCACTGTTCCATTAATCAACCTTGGCAGCCTTGTTGGTATCATAGCAGCAAATGTATTGGCAGACAGAGAGGTCATTTCCATTGCAGAAACTCTGCCTTGGGCTGCTGGGGGTGTTTCCTCTCCCCTTTTGTTTAGTCATCCAGTGCAGAATTCCTTGATTGATTTCAAAATACACTCTGGTGTATTTCTGGTCATTTTGGAGATTTTCCTTTCCTATAACTATGTAATAAAAAGTCATCAAATATCAGCTGGGAAAAAAGATTTACTTTCATGAAACAGTTATCAAAAGAGTCACTGACTTCAGAATACCTAATTCTGTATTTTCTTTACTTCCCATACTGGAGGTGCCCTCCTATAGGGTATTTCAAAGGGATGCTGTAGCCCTGAATATGTAATTGGTGACTGAATTATTAAAACAACAAAGGAAGCTGTGTCTGTCTAAAACTTGGAGCTGTAAATCCCTGACTGCTCTCCGTGTGAGTGTAAGAGAGAAATGGGGCAGATATATGTATTTAAAAATATATCATTTTTTAAAATTATAGCTGAATTATTCACAGATGCACTAAAAGGCAATATTTAGTACATACACATACCTACCTACCAATGTACATAAGCACATATATTTTTTTTAAGAGAAAACTGTGATCCTAATGGTTCATTTTATGTTCCCAGAAGGAATAAGAAAAGAACATACTGATTTCCAGTAGGGGTTCTTACATTCAGTCATTATAAGACATCATGATGTAGAGTTTCGATAAAAATTATTTCTGTTTTAGTGCACGTGATGCCCCTATGATACCTGTAATTACTTTCTTTTGCCTGCACAGTGAAAAGGGAGAAGGCAGCATAGGACCCTGGTGTTTTACAGTTGCTCCCTCCAATTTTCGTTTTGATGTTTTACCTCAGGACATGACCTTCTTTAAACATTACACAAAAATTGCTGCAAAATCACTGGGCTACGTGCTCATTTGCCCCTGACTGATTTTTTGATTATGTGCCATTAAGTTGGTATCAGTTCTTAGCAATCACATAGATTTTCTTCAGGATCACCTGTCCTTGCAGTCATTAAACCCCTCAACTTGCTATTCTTGCACAGTTCTAGGTTTAACTGATGGCCTCCTCTTTTTCTGTGTTCATCCTTGCAGATTCAACCAACAGTGGATCAGCTAAATCAAAGGTAAGATCCCCTCTGGGCTGTTTTTGCCTTTGAAAGATGTTGGGGAGGAGAAAGAGATGGTTAAGCAGAGGGCCCTTAAATTCAGCCTCCCCAGGTTAGAAGTCTGTGCTAGTTCGGTACTTGGCATCTCTTAGCATCCAGGTTTCTTCAATGCACAGACGTGATGATCCACCCATCCGCAGAGACTTAAAGCCTTCTTCTTCTTCTTCTTCTTCTTCTTCTTCTTCTTCTTCTTCTTCTTCTTCTTCTCCTCCTCCTCCTCCTCCTCCTCCATCATCATCATCATCATCATCATCATCAGCTTCATCATCATCATCATCATCATCAGCTTCATCATCATCATCATCATCATCAGCTTCATCATCATCATCATCATCATCAGCTTCATCATCATCATCATCATCATCAGCTTCATCATCATCATCATCATCATCAGCTTCATCATCATCATCATCATCATCAGCTTCATCATCATCATCATCATCATCAGCTTCATCATCATCATCATCATCATCAGCTTCATCATCATCATCATCATCATCAGCTTCATCATCATCATCATCATCATCAGCTTCATCATCATCATCATCATCATCAGCTTCATCATCATCATCATCATCATCAGCTTCATCATCATCATCATCATCATCATCATCATCATCATCATCATCATCATCATCATCATGGCAGTGTTTTAGACCAGACTGAGGCCCTGCTTTGATGATTAAAACGAATAAACAAAAAAGCCTGAACCCACTCAAGCAGTGATGAGCTTATGGGCTAAATGGCCCTGGTCTACTTTTCTGGTGTCATGACATTTCACCAGCAGCTATGACTAGCCTCTTCAGAGGCAGAGTGAGCTGCCTTGTAGTGTACTTCTCAGCAGCTTACAGGTGACTGAGTTGTAGGCTAGTGTACACACTCAACTTACCTCTCCTTTCTTGCCTTAGATTAAGTACTACCTCCCCCAGGATTACTCCACATCTCCCCCCATTCATCTTTTTTCCACCTTTTTCTGGATGGTTACATATATAACAAAGAATGCACTGTTCCAAAGACATTATTGACCAAAAAAAAAAATAACTGGAAGCTGGAAGTTAGTTCCATAGTGCACATAGCCCATTTAATTAAAAAGCAGAAAACAAAAAATTGAACAGGCAAGGGAATCTCTAAGAACCTGTAGGGAGATATCTGCAGGTGTTTTGGTGCATTTTGGGAACTCTAAAATTAGAATTTCTAATTGTCCTATCTGCAAGCATGCTTTCCAAAAGAGGGAAAATAATCCTTTCACTTCCTTTTAAAGCAAAACATGCTTATGAGATGGCTAATCTGTATTAAGGACTCTGTGTCTTGCCCCCTGGGTATGTAAGTACATCAGTGGGGTAAGGCATTGTTATCCCAGGTTAACCCATCACATAAGCAATGCCAGTATCACTGGATATTTCTCTGTGTCTGCTCTTTAGCCTTGCTCACATTCTCTGTCTTTTGCCTCTGCTCCAGGCTTCATGTGGCTCACGGAAAGAGCACTACCATAAAGAGATGCTTGCCATCTCCTTCATCTCAGCTGTCAACCGCAAGAGGAAGAAGCGGAGAGAGGCCAAGCGTTTTGGGAGCAGCACAGATGATGATTCTGAGCATGAGTCAGCTGTCAAGAGAGACGAGGAGGAGGAAGAAATGACTCAGGAGGAAGAAAGAGAGGCTGAAAGATTCGGGAGCAGCAGCAGAGCTCCAGCGCCTGATGTGCAGAATGTTTTGCAGAGCTGTGCAAAACAAGAAGCAGAGCAAGAGGAAAGGAAGGTAGTGGCACCCCGAGGAAGCCCAGAGCTGGCCTTGGATGCCCGCTCGATTGTATCAGGTTACTCCACCCTGTCCACCATCGATCGCAGCCTGTGCTCTGAGGTGCAATCAGTAGCAGAGAGCCGTGGGGAGGAGGCAGATGATGAGCGGAGTGAATTTAGCCACGTGGAGACGGACACTGAGAATAGCTTTGTGCCAAAGCAGGCTGGGGTGCTTCCCGAAAGAGCTGGCATGGCAGCAGTGGAGGAAGGGGGGGCTGCTGCATCTGAAAAGGTATCGCACAACCGAACCTCCTTTAGTTCCCATCACCTCATGCAGTGTGACACTTTGGCACGGCGCAAGCTTTTGCGGCCCCGACCCAACAGTGGGACCTCTTCCAAGGGTAGCACTGATGTCCCAAGTTCTAGCTCCCCGGGCAGTCAAGAGTCACTGCAGCCCATGGGTGTCCCAGAGGTCCACACCCGGCTTTCCCTCACAGAACAACTTCGACTCCGCCTCCGCGGCTCTGCAGATGACATGCTGGCAGTGCGCCTGCGAAAGCCACACTCACCTGAGACACGGCGCAAGAAGAACAGTTGGCGGCGCCATACTGTGGTGGTCCCTGGTGGCCTCAAAGACCTCAACTATGAATGGAAGGAACAACATCTATTGGGGACTACTGAGGCTGGTCCACTAGACTCCTCAAGCAGAGGTGCCCTAAGGGACAACAAGGACTCTGGGATTAGCAGCCTAGAGTCAACCAAACCTCGGTCTTCCTCAACCACACCGGGGAACCTGGCAGCTCCTAACCAGCAGAGCGAGCTGCAGCATCGTAAAGGCAGCTCTGAGGGGCGTTCAGCTCCCCGACGTACAGCCTCTTTACGTTTCCACCAATGTCTTTAGGTAGCCTTTCATTGAAGCTCTTGTTAGAATGGCTGAAAGGAAAACTTGGCTTGCCCATGACAACAGCCTTGACTTGAGAATGGAGGAGGGTGCTCATAGGTGCTCCCAGTACCGGCCTTACTTGTCTTTTTTGATACCTCGATCTGCAGTGGAGCAAGAGACTCTCCTCCTACCTACCCAACCCCCAGCCTTGCTTTCTGATTCCCCCGGTATTAATTTAATCACACTGCAGCTTTGTGACTTGTGAATTTATTTATTCCCCTCCTTCCTCCTTCCCACAGGGTGGCAGTCAAAAAAAAAAAAAAGCTGAGGTAGGTCTGATGTAAGGAGGACCATTCATTCAGCTCATAGGAAGATCTTAACTTGGGATTGACTGGAGTTGCCTAGTTGATGAGATGAGCAGCTTCATTCCTGCTTCAAAACGCTGGTCTGCACATGAGGGATGTTTTTGAAGAAGGAAAAGTTCAGAAACCAGAATTGCTCCAGTTAATTATCTCTTAATTCTTATTCTCTAATTTTCACCAGTCCATGTTACCTCTGTTCTGTATTTAACTGAAAGAGGGCTTGGAGCTGGGGAATTCAGATTAGAGTTGTTTCCATTTAACCATTGTTGACTTCTGCCATTGGGTTCACATTTACATGATGGATTCCATTCTACCGAAAGTTCTTCTCACTGTTATCTAAATGGCAGTTGATAAAGTTGGGAGGCTTTGAATATTCCCCTAAAAATACCCACTGCTCCTTCTCTGTATTTCCCCTAGAAAAGCAAATCCCCAATCTTCCATCTACCATGCCTTGGCCTTTATCAGGTTCCTACAGGGAGGGCTGTATCCTCTTGAGTTCTAGCACATACATCAAAGTCTTGTGGACATGTGCAGACTCAGCCTATGTATGGTATGGTCTCAGCTGCACTTGAAAACTCTTTCATGTGAAAATTGCAGAGCCATAATGGTCCCTTGAGTGCATAGCCTCTCCCAGATTTAAAGGGCACTGCTGTTCTCCTCTTCCTATTAAAGCGATATCATCTCGAATTCTCAAAAGTCACAAAGAGATCTGTGGCATCATAGTGTCCAATGTATTGCAGCATAATCTTTGAAAGCTTTGGCTGCAGTAAATCTGCTGGTGTTTAACAGCATTGCAAAATGCCTTGGTTTTGCTGCAAGACTAACATGAGATATACAATTGATGATACAAATTCTAAATGATAGTACTAAATGATACAATTCAGTGTGCCTTTAAGGATATAGTCCCCTTTTTCGCTTAGCTCATCTAAGATTTTCTTGTAAATCTTAGCTAAGGATATGAACCTTTTTCAGACTGATTTCTCCTTTCAGATTGTGACAGTATCCCCATCTGAATAGCACTCTCTACTCCAGTGTTTCTCAACCTTGGCAACTTTAAGATGTGTGGACTTCAACTCCTAGAACTGGGAGCTGGCTGGGGAATTCTGGGAGTTGAAGTCCATATATCTTAAAGTTGCCAAGGTTGAGAAACGTTGCTCTACTCCTATCCCCTTGTAACAGGTTGTACAGTCCAGCATGTCTTCAGGAAGTGATTAACACCGTTAACACTGTACTGTGTGCAGAATCCATGAAGGCAGTATTTTAAGGAGAAAAATGAGCTTATGCAAATGATAATTGTGTGGAGTGAATCACCCGCTCCCTAAGGTGGCACACGTGTACCATGTTTTGGTTAATGGTGCTTTTCCAGGTAATTTGCCTCCCACGTTCATTGGGGGAAAGGCTGAGTGCAGGCGCTGTGTGATTTCTTAGGGTTGGGGAAGAGCAACAAGAGGTGGGGGAGAAACACACCAGGGCCCTGTGCAGATGTGCCAAAAAGGAGCCTCAGTGACTTTTTAAATCTTCCTTTTAGGGTTCCCAGAGCGTAAGTTGATACGATTCCATTCAAGCCTTTGTTACAATGAAGGGCTGAAATGTCAAGTCCATGCCACCTTCTGCTTTACTGGTATCTTCCACAATTCACTGTCTCTCACAAAAAAGCAATATTTTATTTTTCATGGTGCTACATTTATTTTCAACAGTGTCTTCCTCTTCTTAGTTTTCTCACTATACCGTATGGAAGTAAACCAAGGAGTTGCTTATTTATATGTTGCAGATCAAGTAGGTTTTCCCATTTGCTACTCCTTGCAATTCCTTCAAAATGAGAGACTTACAGTTGTTTTTACCTTGTGGATATAAAACATTCCCACCACCTCCTGTCTCTGTAGAATTTCATTTGGTCATAAAAGCAGGAAGTACTCTTGCGGTGAATAAATATGAGAGATAATCTTTAAGATACATGTTTTGGTGTGTAATAGTTACTACTTCACCCCTTGTGCCTCAATACAAAAATGTTATCCCTTTGGAAGAAGTTGCATAACTCTTACGAAAAAAAAAATGTTGCTGTGAAATAACTTTCTCCAGTTGCTTGTCAAGACCCTTTTAACACTTGACTATATTTGAACCGAAGAGGAATAACAAAAAAGTCATTTTGTGGGAACCCAAATCAAAATCCTGACACTCCTGAAGTTCGGTGTGTGCTCAGAGCAAACTGCTGTGTAACAGCACAGCCTATTTCAAAGGACTGTTGTGGGGTCCAACAGGCTCTTTTTCGCTCCTTGCAAAAAAGGGGGGGAAAAAACTAATAGAAAAAATGGCAAATTTGTTTTGAATTTCAGTATTTGCGGATGGATTTCAAAATTATTATCCCTGAATGAAAAGGAAATATCATCTTCATGGAAATAACTCCCTCACCACAAGTTGTTTTGTTTTGTTTTTGTACCACATTCCAGGTATTACACACTGATATTTCAGTTGTAACACCAAATAATAAGGCATCAGTAATCCCAACCCCACCTCAGTCCATCGCCTTACAACCCTCCCGTATAACAGGTCGGGCAGTCAGACTGTAGTTCATGTCCAATTTCTTTCCAGTCTTTTCCTTCAGCAGGAAACAGCAATGGGACCACGTGCTCTGCCTCAAACACTTACTTCACTGCTTCCTTCATGCCTTGAATTAATCAGGGCTTCCTAAATAGATCCAGGCTCAAAAGTGAATGGATTAGAGGCAAAGCCTCTATGCAACAGAAGGGGCAAGGGACAAGGCGATCTGAAGGTGCCTTGATTGAGGATAGGATAGGCCTTGCTGATGTTAAATGCAACACTTCAATTGCTACACCACACTGGTCATAGACATGGTCTACTATGTTTTTAATTGTAATCTGGCTAGCTCATTCCACTAGGTCTGTGATGGCTGTTTTTTTATATGAAGCAGTAGCAGCAGGTACACTCTGGGTGCAGATGTCGCCATGAAGAAATGCTCTTGTATCTGGGCTCTTCCAGATATGGGTGCATTAAAGTTGCCGGACCCCCCCCCCATATCAGTTGAGAGCATCACTGGGCACTAACTATCACACTTTGTCCCAATTCTATCCCGTTGCCACTGCAGGGTTGTGAGCAGAGAACGTTCATTTTCAGGAAATAAGTGTCGCTACAGACGCAGCAGTCGGGCCAAAACAGAATGGCAATGAGTTGCAAACTTGCCAACCTGATAATCACTCCAAATAGTTTATTTTTAGGGGGGGGGGGAGGGACTTGTGGTTTGGTGCAAAATTGAAGTCCCTGTTAGGCAGGACAAGATCTTATTGGCTCTTGGTTCTCCACCTGTGTAGAGTTGCAAAGACAAAGATATGCCCATCCTGTGACATTCTAACCATGATATTGCCTCTCCAGCCTGCCTTCATTTTTGTTGTGAAACAAAAGGACTTGAGGGTCAGGAGTGCTGTCTGGAAGTGCCCTTTGGTTAGGCTAGTCTTGGTGGTCATTGAACAGGCAGAACAATAATTTTAAAATATATGTGGCGTCCACACTGAGGTTTCACATATTTGAAGAGTTTGATCTGATTGAACTGTCACAACCTTCTTTATAATTACTTTACAGAGATACGCAAAACAAATCCAGATGAAAGTAGACCAACTTCTGGACTACTGGATCCATTTGGTCTTCTGGATTTCTTCCCATTCTACTGTATTTAGCAGTATGTAATTCCTATATATGTCTCAGTCTAACACGATAGTAATACCCTGCCAGCAAAGAGCTGCACTCTGGGGAAATGGCTGGCAAATGACGGGTGCTTTGCATGGTCCGAGGGCACCCCTGAAAAGTGGCAGCATAGTCAGAGGTGTGGGGGGGGTGTCAAAAAGTCAAGAAGGTTTGTGTGATTGCACAATCAAAGCTGTGTGATGCATGATGAAAAAGGGGCAAAGTTTCCGTTGCACGGGTATGTTTCCCTTATGCCATCTTGACTTTTGGCGCCACCCCTCCTGGTGGGTGCCCTTGGTTGTCTTCTGGGTTGGTTATTTAACAGCAAAGGCTCCATGTGTGTGTGAATTTTTTAAAAACACTATCTTACAATCTTTCTTAAGGGTTCATAGTCCCACCTTTCGGGTCACAGCCCTTTCCAGTGCCAGTGTTTGTGTGAAAAAGCACCCCTTTTGTTCACACCTGGACTCTCCCCACCAGACAAAATCCATCAGATTGAGACTACCTGGTTCCATGTTAAGTAGAGTTGGACTGCAAGCTAAAGTGATGTTTTATACTTCAAGAATTTCAATTTGGATTCAAAGTATTACAGGAGTGCCTCCTTGGCGCTGTCAAGGTGGCAGCTGTAATTACCTGTTTTTTACATGCATCAGGTATGCAAAGTATCCACTTGCAGCTGCCATGTTGATGTTTTTCAATCCCTCCCTACAGGCACATTTGTTTCCTCTCATTTTTTTTTTTTTTTTTTGCCCTGGGTGAAATGAGGGGTCCCAAGTTTTCTATGAGTGCCTTTCATGAGAGCAACTCTTTCCCTGTTTGTTACAGGCTCTTCACGGTAGCCTGGTGGGTGAGGTGTTAGCCTAAGAGCTAGTCAGTAAATGTATAAAAAGAATCTTTCTTTGAGGTAAACAATCTAAAAAATTTCCAATTTTAATAGCTCATGCGACTGCTTCATGATTACTTTTGCCTGAAGAACAGTCTGTGAAACTTGAAAGCTTACCTAGGTTTTAGGGAGCTGTACCTCTCCTCTGTGAAAAGCCCCTCTGTCCTCTTTCTGAATTTGAAAGCCAATCCCTAACAGGATATAAAGGACTTAAACTCTGTGCTGTTGGGGACATAAAAGGAAGGTTAGACCACGAGGCACCAAAACGACAACTTCTCTACGAGGCCTGCAATTTGTGCTGTATTTGAATAAGCAGAAAATGTGCTTTGCTCCGTCTTCCGCATGTTCTAATGTGTCTTACCACAATTCCATTGAGACCTTGGAAAGGCGCACGTACCTGTGCACAGGTGTGGAATTTAAAACTGAGCAAAACTACATAGTTGGCTGTACTGTAATGCATTGTCCTTATCCTTTTATGCAAATATGTGCTGTAAAGTTTTATTTTTCACTTTATTTTGTAAATAGCTTTTACATGTGTAACATATGATAAAGAGTTTATAAGGATTTTTAAAGGGGGGGGGAGCCCAAGACTTTTATTTTTCTCCTTTTTAAAATGGAAGTTATACAACAGTGTTGTCTTTTTTTTCTTTTTTTTTAGAAAAACCAAAAACTCCTTGCATGGTTTGTCCCTCTTTTCACCTTTATGTTGTACAATATATATGATCAAACAAAACAATTCTGCTTTAAATATAGCCCCAAAATTACAATTCTATATATATGGGAAATAAACTGCCTTATTCAGAAAACAAGTTTGCTTACGTATTTAAAGCATAACCTCTAGCTAGTAATACACACTATGTATTAATAGTGTTGAACGTGTGCTATCAAAATAGATGTGATTTACTTGCATCACTACAATTATCCATGAGCAGATGTTTAACAAAAGAGAGTTCTTTTCACGCTCCACTGCAATAAATTAAAAATAAACCCACTAAGTTACCCCTCATATTTTAAATTATGCAGCTTCCACACATTACACGGTTGATTTTTTTCCTGCCACATGTATGAAATAACATCAATGAACTTTCAAGATTATTTTGCAACAATAAGGTGTAGGAAATTGCTTGCTAATAGTAACAGCAAGTTAATGTAACCATTAATCTAAATAGATAGAATTTAGATGTTGTGAAAGAAATTTCAGGATCTAATTTAGAATAAGATTTGGAGGGGTAAATGAGCATGCTATGATGCATTTTACCTTTTTCCACTTTTGACCATCTTCTTTACTAACTCCTCATCTGCTGCTTATATTACAGTCACCTTCCTTTTCTTAAGCTCTCAGACAGAGCAGCGTGGATGTTACATAAATGAGGGCGGTGACATAATGTACCATCCATGCCTCTGTTTGTCTGAAAGCTTAAGGAAAAAAAATGGGCCATATGTCATTATACAATATTATATGATAGACCCTCATCTTCTGGTAAGCTCTGAGTCTGGAAATCGGCCAGTAAGAAGTGACCAAAGTAAGGGATATTGTGCTAGATTGCCCCAAAAGAGGTGAACATGAGAACAGCTTAGCGTTTAATATGCTAATTTATCAACGAATTGGGACCTAAGTACTGTAAATTACATAGAAATGCAGTCCAGAATTCCTCCCTGCAGCAGGGGAGATGGTCTGCATTCAGCCCAGACTGCTGCCATGATGTTATCCCTGGGGCCAACTCTCCCTTCT